TCTCTCTCTCTCAAATAAATAAATAAAGAGTCAAGCCTGGCCCTGTTTTTTAGGGTCTTTCTGCAAAGTATCCCCATCATAAGGAATTTGATTATGCAGTGGTAGAGTACTTCTTTCAGTAACACACACACACACACACACTCTCTCTCTCTTATATATGTATATTATATATATATATATATATATATATAAAATTGTAGATGTGCAGCATGCCCTTATTTTATTTATTTTTTTAATGTGGTGCTGAGGATCAAACTCAGTGCCTCACAAATGCTAGGCAAGTGCTCTGCCACTGAGCTACAGCCCCCCTCTTTTTTATTTTTTAGTTGTCAATGGACCTTTATTTTATTTATTTATATGTGGTGTCAAGAATCAAACCCAGTGCCTCACACATGATAGGCAAGTGCTCTACTACTAAGCCTTAACCCCAGCCCCTCTTTCAGTAACTCTTGATGTATGTTTCCAGAAACTAATTGGCTCAGGCCAGCTGTGATGGCACATGCCTATAATCTCAGCTACTTGGAAAGCTGAGGCAGGAGGATCACAGTTTCAAAGCCAATCTGGGAGATTAAGCAAGAATTTAAAATTTAAAAAAGGCTAGGGATGTAGCTCAATGGTAAAGCACCCCTGAGTTCAATCCCTACTACCAAAAAGTAGAAAAAAGAAAGAAAGAGGAAGAGAAGGAGGAGGTAAAAGAAGAAGAGAAGATAATTGCTGCATCTCAGACCACAGCTAATACACATTACCAAAAAGACTCTGTTTCTTCTGTGAAGATCAGAACCCTCTCTATATACACCCAGAATTTTATGGAGCAAAATAATAAGAATGTCCTTAAAAATATTTGTATCCCCATCTATACTTTCCTCTTTTAATATTAAAAATAACAAAGAAACCAATATAATAGAATTAACAAAGTAAGTGGAAAGATTTGAGAAAATAAGCAAAAATCTATAGCATCATTAATACATCTCAATTCACATGCTGGTATGAGTATAACTAATTAAAAATGATAATGATAAACTATCTAACTTAGGGTTGGGGATGTGGCTCAGTGGTAGAGTACTTGCAACACATGCACGAAGCCCTGGATTTGATCACCAGCAACACACACACACACACACACACACACACACACACACAAACACACACACAAAATCTGATTTAAAATAACTTCATTACATGTTTGTGGTCTGTATGAGAAAATCTCCAAGAACCAATAAAAAGACTTACAAAAAAACCTGAGTAACAGAGAGGCCAAGTTCCTTGATGGAAAAGTGAAATAATGTAATGTCTATTGGACTCTTGCTACTCCACCAAATTCTGAGAATGAGCATCAGGTATTTTCATTCATTACCACGTACTGCACCTCAGGAAAACAAAGATACAAGGATCCTTAATTTTAAGGAAAGGAACTGGTCCTTTCCTCAAAGGCTTTGAGCTAGTTCTACCCCTAAGAAAAGACAATTACATAGATTAGTGTTATTCAACAAAAGTATCATGTGAGCTACATATGTAACTTTAGAATTTCTATTCACCATATTATGAAAAGTTAAGAATTATAGCTGGCATGGTGGCACACATCTGTAATCCCAGTGACTCAGGAGGTTGGGGCAAGAGGATTGCAAGTACAAGGTCCATCTCACCAACTTTAGTGAGATCCTGCCTTGAAATAAAAAATAAAAAGGTCTAGGAATATAGCTCAGTGGTAAAACACCACTAGGTTCAATCCCTGGTGCCAAAAAGAAAGACAAAGTAAAAAAGAAACAGGTGAAATTAATTTTAAATTTTTATTTAACCTCAAAATATTATCACTTCAATGTCATCAGTGTAAAAATTAGTAATATTGTTAATCATTGAAGTTTGGTGTGTTTTACAATACATCTCAATTCAGACTAGTCACATTTCAAGGGTTTAATACATATGATTATTGACCATTGTGCACAGATAATTTCAATGAAGCTTTGAGTGTAAAGACATAAGCACATAGGTGATGAGAACCGAGGAGGGATGTCTAATCTAGTTTGGGCAATCAGCATAGGTTTCCTAGAGTCCTGTGAGGATAAGCAGGAATCAGCCAGCAAAGGAAGGATGGAAGATAGAGGTATACAAAGCAGCATTAGCATCGGATATAAGGTGAGAAACAGCACATGACAGGAACTGTCAGTATTAGCAATATTCTAGCATAAAGATGGAAGCAATAAGCAGTGAGAACAGAGGCTACAGAAGACTGTGACCAAATATACCCATTCTCTCCCTAGCCTAAGTCAGGGGAGGGGCAGCAAAGGCAACAGGGGGAGCTGTCCCTGGTTCTGACACCAAAGCAGATTCACAATATAGTTCCACCCAGATTCACAGTTCACTTCCACCAAGGCTGGGACTGAACTAACCCAGAGCAAGTCTAGTTTCTAGCATCTTCTGCAGCATACATGGAAGACCCCAAACCCTAAATTTGGTGTGGCAGAACAGAATAACCTAGAAGCTTCAGACAGGCTGTCTCTGAATGGGTTGGAGAATTTTAGGAACACTGAAATCCTGGAACATAATTCTAGGATTTTAAAATTTAAAGCCAGGTATGGTCAGGAAGGGATCCTCTGTAAAACGGAGATAGATGTGTATCTACTATACTAAATCAACTCCAAAAATGGTAGTCAACTGCTGAGAGCCATTAGCCAAGTAGGTAAGACAATTTCCTTGCCAGCGTACCCCATGTTGCTTAGAGGAAGGACTCGTGGAAATGGACTTGCCTTGGACATTTGCAGTGACATTGCATGTATGCTTAAGTAAGGTGACCTTGCTCAAGGACCAGGGCGGATCCGGGTTTAGGGCTTTTAGGAAGTATCCCACTCCTTGGGTTTAGGGCGGTTCCAGGTTTAAGGTGTACCCTGCTGGGAATATCGGGCGTATCCTGCTGATTAGAGCCTGGTGGAGTACATGGATTTTGCCCAGAACGTGTTTGTAGAGGGCTGGTGTGAGTTCAGGAATCTACAAAGCTGTGAGTGGCTCGTGATTTTGTGCCCAGCCAGACTGCGGCAGTCAACCTTGAAGTCTTAGAGAATGTGAACTAACAACTCTCAACCCAGAATCTACTGAGATGCTGACTAGTGTAGAATTAACTCCTATTATCTTCCTTGGTATCTACTAATCTCTGAGGGGGTTCATTGTGGGGAATGGTGGCGCACACCAGTAATTCTGGCAGTTTGAGAAGCTGAGGCAGGAGGATCAAAAGTTTGAGGCCAGCCTCTGCAATTTGGTGAGAACTTGTATCAAAATTTCTAAATTTTTTGTAAAGGTTGGGGGTTGGAACTCCATGGTAGAGCATCCCTGGGTTCAATCCCCAGTATTATCTCCCAAAAAATATCTATGAGGGGGCTCGATGGAAAAATATTTATGATAGATATGGCCTCAGTATATCAATGAGCCAAGGACAAGGGAAGTCTGCACAAGTACAACGATATCATTATCATTTTATTGCATACTAGTGATCAAGATACGGAGATAAAACTGGTACATTGGCATTTTATTCCAGTATGTTCTTCTAGAAAGTAATTTGGTAATATTTATGAAGAGTCATAACAATGTTTCTGCTCTTAGACTTACAGTTACATACTGAAACACTTGGAATCACACTAGCCTGGGTAAAATCTCAGCTCTATCACATGCAGCAGACCTTAAGCAAGAAGAATCTGAAAGGATTGTGGGAAGATTAAATTGGTGAATGAATGAAAAAGTAAAGCCCAGAGTTGAGCACTTACAGGTGCTATAGACATGATAATTCCCACGGCCCTCTACTCTCTTCCTAAGGCAGGACCTTTTATTTTTTATTTATCATCTCATCCAATATCATGGTTTTACTTTCCTTTAATCTTTTAAAAATTGTAAATAAAAACAGAAAATGAAGAGAAAACAAACTAGCTATTTCCCTCCCCCTACTTTCTGTGTATGTGTTGGGGGGGGTACTAGGTGATTAAACCCAGGAACGCTACCACTACATCCCAGTTATACACACTGCAACCTCCACCCCCTAATGCCCCACAACTTTTTTATTTTTTGAGACAAGTTCAAACTAAATTGCTGAGGCTGGCCTCAAACTTATAATCCTCCTGCCTTCTGAGTACCTGGGATTTCAGGTGTGTGCCACCACACCCAGAAAACTAAACACTTTTTTTTTTTTTGTACCAGGGATTGAACTCAGGGGTATTTAACCAGTGAGCCCACATCCCCAGCCCTTTGTATTTTTTTATTTTGAGACAGAGCTTCACTAAATTGCTTAGGGCCACACCAAGATGCTGAGGCTGGCTTTGAACTTATGATCCTCCTGCCTCAGCCTGCTGAGTTTCTGGGATTACAGGCATAATCCACCATGCCTGGCCAAATTAATCACTCTTTAAAGGGCTGGTACTTATGTCTCTACTCCCTCCTAGGCTGGGCTTTATGAACCACCCTCAATAGATTCTGGCTTAAGCACATAGAC